TGGGGCACGGATATTGCTGGGGTGTCAGAGGGGTTTTGCTTGTGAGGCTTCAGGCAGGCAGCTGAAGCGCTCTGAGACTGGTTTGTGGCCTGTTTGGAGAGGTCACCAGTCTGGGGGCTGTAAGGAGCCCCGGATTTGAGCAATTCGCCCTGCATAGTGCCCTGTGCCAATGCCTACCCCAGAGTGCCTCCCCTGCAAGGAACAGCAACCACTAATCCCACCCTCACCTCAGGGGCCCACTGCTGCCCTTAGTTTAGCCCAGAGCTGGGCAAAATACGGCCCATGTCCTGGATCCAGTCCTCGGACTCATGCCAGCTCCCTGCTTGCTTCACCCCAATCACACGCCACTCAGAAAAGTGGCTGCCAGGATGTTTTTTTTTCACAACTGGGAGGAGCTGGGCAAAATACGGCCCATGGCCTGGATCCAGTCCTCGGACTCATGCCAGCTCCCTGCTTGCTTCACCCCAATCACACGCCACTCAGAAAAGTGGCTGCCAGGATGTTTTTTTTTCACAACTGGGAGCTCGTGACCCCCACCCCTAGAACTATCCCCCAGAACTACCCCGCCCCCAGAACTCTCTCATTGGCTGGTTTTGGGCCAATGGGAGCTTTCTGTTTGAAAAACAGGTCACACACAAAGCACCATGCCTCCCTCCCCTGTGGTTGGTCGTTATTCACATGCACATGACAGGGTGGGGCAGGCAGAGAGGAGTTTGTTGTTTTTTGCTGGAGTTTGTTGTTACAGGGACCAACACAGAGCTGGAGCTCCCAACTACTGGTGCCCTGATGCCAGTCAGACCCAGCTGGAATGGCACCTGAACGGGGGCACCCACAACCTATGGGGGGCACCTGATGGAAGCTGTAAGGGGCGCACAGCGCCCCTTATAGCTATCATCAGGCGCCGTGTGCCCGGCTACTGGATCACGGGCTACAGCAGCTCCCCGCAGCTACCCTGCAGTGGCTGCTTGGGCAGGGGCCGCGTTAACCCCCACAATGCTGGCCAGCAGCGATAGCTGGGCTGGGCGGGGCCGGGTACGTGCGTCCTGACAGTGCCAGCTACGTGCATCCTCCCCCACGTGCCGGGCGGAGGCAGGGCCACGCATGCACCCTCCCCCAACCCGGGGCACAATTAAACTGTCTGCCCGGCGTGCCAGAATGGCTCGGTCCGGCCCTGAGAGTCATAGGGGCTGGGAAGTGTGGGGCCCTGAAGGTGCAGAGCCTAAGGTAACCACTTTGCCCTAAGACTGGGCCTGAGTGTATGGAAGTCAAAGGGCTGTTTTGAGGTGTTGAGCTCCAAGGCATGTGAAATGGGCTAGTATAGAGAAATAAGAAATGGCTAGGGACAGAGCCCGCAGTGGGGTGTGAATAAGAGGGATCGGGGGAGGGTGTTTAGGGTCTCTCCAGGGCTTCACACCCCTCGTTGACCTGTGGCAGGTGCAGTCCCTGGACCCTGGTTCTTCCTTCCCTTGTCAGCTCTGCACAGGACTTCCTCTCTTAGGGTATGTCTACACTAGCTCATTAATTCGAGCTAGGTAGGCAAATCAGGGAACTGGAGTTGCAAATGAAGCCTGGGATTAAATATCCCTGGCTTTATTTGCATGTTCCCGTCTGGCTGCCATTTTTAAATCCCTCTGGCTATGTCTAGAGTGGCATGATGTTCCGCAAATGCTTTTAATGGAAAAGTTTTTCCATTAAAAGCATTTGCGGAACATCATGCCACTCTAGACATAGCCAGAGGGATTTAAAAATGGCAGCCAGACGGGAACATGCAAATAAAGCCAGGGATATTTAATCCCAGGCTTCATTTGCAACTCCAGTTCCCTGATTTGCCTACCTAGCTCGAATTAATGAGCTAGTGTAGACATACCCTAAGAGAGGAAGTCCTGTGCAGAGCTGACAAGGGAAGGAAGAACCAGGGTCCAGGGACTGCACCTGCCACAGGTCAACGAGGGGTGTGAAGCCCTGGAGAGACCCTAAACACCCTCCCCCGATCCCTCTTATTCACACCCCACTGCGGGCTCTGTCCCTAGCCATTTCTTATTTCTCTATACTAGCCCATTTCACCAAACGAACTGCCCACGGCTACACACAGCAGTTTAAAGTTAATCTGAACTGAGTCCTTATTTCGGATTAACTGTTACTCCTCGTGGAATCCATGCAGTGTGGATTTCCAATGTCATAAGTGTATCCAGACATCCACAGTGTCCATAGTTGCTGTCAAGGCTGTTCCCCACTCTGGCACTCCGAGTGCAGAAGGTGGGGGCCCGCAAGAGAGATTAAAAACCCCACCTCTACAGGCACCGGTTACATAAACATCCCCCAGAATCACAAATGCACAGATTTTAGGAGGGTAGCTGCCACCATCGAGTGATTTTCCCCTAGCAATAGGGGCAAACACTTGAATTCACCCCCAGGGGCATCCCAAGCTCTTTTGCCTCAAAGAGCTTGAAAAAAGAAAAGAGAAAAACCAGCTTTAGACTCTGGTAGTTGTCCTAGGGTTCCCGAACTGTGGGGAACATTCACGGGATGCACATCTCCATCAGAGCACCAAACCATCAAGTGGCCCAGTACATAAATCGAAAGGGCTACTTTTCTATTGCCCTGCAGGGCTTGGTGGACAATTCACAGACATTTTTGTGGGGTGGTCAGGCAGGGCATACGATGCTTGGGTCTTTAGAAACTCTAGCCTATGCCGCAAGCTGGAGGCAGGCACCTTTTTATCCACACTGGGACTTTGCGGTGGGCAACGTGAACATGTCACTGTGCATAGTGGGGGACGCGGCATACCCGCTAAGGCCCTGGCTTATGAATCCGTATACCAGCCACCTCGATCCCAGCAGGGAGCAGTACAATGCCCACCTCAGCCGAGCCTGGATGCAGGTGGAACGTGCCTTTGGCTGCCTCAAGGCATGCTTCTGGTGCCTCCTTACCCGTCTGGATGTTGGGGAGCACAACCCCAAGGTGATGGCGGCGTGCTATGTGCTCTACAATATTGTGGAGTGGAAGGGGGAGGCCTTTCCCCCAGGGTGGGGGGGACACACTGGCCACAAGGGCACTGCAGACAGCTGAGCAGCCCCGGACAGCTGCCACCTGCCACACCCATTAGCTGGGGGTGCACAACCGGGATGCCCTGAGGAAGAAGTTCTCTCAAGCACCCCAGTAAAACTCTCCACAGGGGCCTCTGCCTTGTTGCTCTCTCCCTTCCCCCTCTCCCTCCCTCCCTTTGCCCCTTTCCCGACCTCCCATTAAAGACACCTGTTTGGTTTCAGAACAAAAGGCGTCTTTTTTTTAGCGAACAGTAAGAAAAGATGGGGAGGGGGAGGAGGGACTCTGAACTGGGAGGGGGGTCAGGACTGGGAGGAGGAGTGGAGCGCCCCATCGGGGTTGTGTTGCTCTGGGGACCACAAAAGGCTGCGCAGAAGGGGCAGCTAGAGCGGGGTCAGGATTGTCAGGGGGCAGGAGGAGGGACCATAGGCATCACTTGGGGAGGGGGCATGGGCATTGCTATGGGACAGAGCAGAGGCAAGGCATGGGGAGGGAGGAGAGGCACAGCAGGGTGGGGTGGCAGATGGGCAATGGCCATAGGAAGGGGGCAGGAGGGTGGAAGGGAGGCACAGCGCCATCAGGCGGGTGTTCCCCCATGCGGGACATGATGCCGCACATGGTGTCACCCCGCGTCATCATTTCGGTCCATGCACGCTCCTGCCATTCCAGGTCCGCATTGAGCCTGCGCGGCAGGGTCTGCTGGGTGTCCCAGAGGACACCGACGTGCTGGCGCAGCAGGTCCTCCTGCACCCTGGCTCGTCCGCGGGTCCCCCGGACTCTGGCAGGTGGCTGCGGTGGTGTGGCTCGGCCCTCTGTCCGGGCTGGTCCGGCTGTGGAGAGCACACAAGAGGAAGAGGCGGTCAGTCATCCCTGCAGACACTGTGCTGAGCAGCAACCACAACAGTCCAAATAGTCCATGGCCCACAGGAGGGGGATGCCCCAAGTGCCAGCCCACGTGTGGCCCTATCTCATGGGGCCCCAATGTGCCCAGAGGACCATGCTGCTCACTTCCCCCCATACACACACACACACCACAGACAGGCAGGCAAGGGAAGTGTCCTGCCACAGTGGAATCACCTCCTGGGAGGCAGAGGAGCTGGGAGAAGTTTGGCCCCCCCCTGGGGTCTGCACACACAGGTGCACGTGCAAGCATGCTTGTGTGCTGTGTGCGGGACTCTTTGGCCTGTGTGGGGTCGTGCCACCACTGTTGTGTCTAGTCTGCTTCCAGATGGATGTGCCCCCCCTCACTGCCCCGGGGACAGGACCTGTGTGGCCTTTTCCGAGCCTGGTAGAAGGATCCTGGGTGTGTTCAGGGGATGCCTGCTGTGTTCGCATGCCACACACTCAATGCTGCACATGGTTGCACGTGCACAGGCTGCAGCACCATGCAGCCCCTGGTTTTTATTTTTTCCTGCAGGTCATTTCTTGCACAAAACCTCCTGTTCCCTGTCCCCACATATCTTTTTGCACAAGAACTCTTGCACAAAAAGGCATTCTTCCTCATGGAAAGAGGAATACCAATTGCGCAAAACTCCTTTAATCTTTCGATTCTCTTGTGCCAAAATGCACTTCAGGTGTGGACGATCCGTGAGTTTTTCGCACAAAAAATCTGTAGTGTAGACACAGCCACAGAGAGCTGTAGCAGTTGCAAGCTTCCAATTTATCCCACAACACAGAGCTGGCCAAAACTGGCTGGGCTGACCCCTAGTGACCTAACTCACTTACTATAACAACAAGATCTATCACTACACACAACAGAGAACACAAGCCCAGCTTATTCTCTGGCAGGTGAGGGGGCGGAGGGGGGAGGTGAGTGTGAGTGCATCACTCCATGGGAGTTACGCTCCTTGCCCCGTCACTCCAGTGACTCCCCCAGGTTCAGGGTATGGGGCAGGGGAGTGGCACTGATGGTGGTGTAAAAGACGGGTTCACGGGCAAGGACTGGGGTCCCTCACTTTATCTGCAGCTCCTGGGAGTCCAGATCAGCATAGGTGAGTCTCTCAGAATCAGGGTCGGGCTCCTGGGGCTGGGAGAGAACAGAGTAACCGTGTTTTTGTGTGTCGGGGAAATCCCCCTCCCCAGCATCTGCCCCCCCCCCCCCCCACAAAGCTCAGAGCTCAGGCACAGGGGAGTGGAGGGCTTGGTAAGTTTATGAGGGCAGAGCCAGGCTCTGACTCTGTGTCTCCTGCCCCCTCCTTTCCCCCTGA